TTAAATTAATATATAAAATTGGCAACATGGATATACTTTATTAGTGAATTCATAAGGGGAGTCGGTAGGGGATGTATCACTAATGCTAAAACTGACCCTTTTCGATGTACTTTTTCGAAGAAACTACTTATGACGTCGCTTTGAAATTTTTTGGGGGATATTTGAGATTATATCAGTTGTAGGCTGTGATAAAGTTTTAGCGTTACCGGGAATACTTTTTTAGTATGTAAGATTTTTGATGAAATATTTTTAAAGAAATTAAAAGTTCTAAGTTCATGATTTTTTAAAAAAAAAATCTGTCGGTATGTATTAACAGTTATCACTATGTAAATATGTATTTCTAAATAATCTGAAAAAAAAAAAAAATCTGAAGCAATGTCTTGTTTAGATGCTGAGAAAAAGTACACCGAAAAAGGTCAGTTTTAAGCATTATTGGTGTATGCCTACCGACTCCCCTTTAAATAAATGTATAAAAGGCAACATAGATAAACTTTATTAATAAATTATTAAGACATTTTCAAAAATCTTTTAAGAAAAATTTAGATATTATACCATCTGTTAGAGATGAAACTCACTCTGGTACAAAAGAATCAATATTGTAGAATCAGCTTTTAAGTGAGGTAACGCAAAAAATTCTAACATTCTACATAATATTTTTTTTTAAATAAAAAGAATGAAGTTGAAGTGTAATAGAAACTATTACATCTAATTGCATTTGGTTAAAAATTCGCTAATTAATAAAAATGGTTAAAAATATTTTGAATAAATATTTTTTCTACTATCTTAGAAAAAAATATTAAGTGCAGCAAAATCATTTCAATCCAAATTTGTTTTGGGGAGGCTATGCTTTTGTTACTTATTCATTATTTCTTTAAAAATGAGTCCCGCAGTGGACTGATCGTTAAGACATGGTTCCCAGCAGATCACCGAAGTCAAGCATCACTGGCTGCGGTCAGTGTGCAGGTGGGTGACCACTTGGATCAGTCTGCGTAGGGACCGAGGGTGTGCGGTATTGGTCCTCGTTAAAATGTTCTACCGTAAAGTGCTCGACTTCGCGTGCAGGTCGTTGGGCTACCGAAGCGGGGGTGCCATCCCCTCTGCAGAGGATCAAAATTGTGATGACTTGTCTTCGGATCATCCTTAGGGATGTTACCCAGACCGTCGCCATTAGCCCATTGTGCAGCTCTAGTGCGACGTAAATTAACTACTACTACTTTAAAAATGATTTTATTAGTTTCACAATAGGACATCTTTCCCAAATTCGTACTTATTTTGGTTGGCGTTCGGAGAGACTTGTTTTTGATATTATATTTGTTATTTTCGAATTACTTGAGAATTGGACGCATTGAATGCTGACATACAGTTAATGTTTCACTTGTATAGTGATAAACTTGATTTTTTTATATTATTGTACACCAAGAACGAAAAAAAAAATATTTATATTCAATATTTTCAGAATTTCAAATAAATTTTTCTTAATTTTTTACATCTCGTCGTTGCTCTAGGCAATTTGAGAATCTTTGCTCTATAAGAATGGTTTATAGCTTTCAACGAAGTTTGCTGAAGTTTATAATAGGTAGTGTCATTTGCAAAAATCACAATTAAATGTAGCTTATTACAAGAAATACCACGTTTGCGTTCAGAAATAAATTTAAATTGATTATGATTTTCAACTATTTCAGCAGTAAATTATTCAAATAATATTCATATTATTAATTAAATGTCCTTGAAAAGTTTTTTTTTCTTTCTAGTTAATGAAAAAATTTCTAAATTGCTAACCAAAATGTTTTTAAACAGTTTAAAAAATTTAATTTTAATTTATTTATCTTGTTTTTCACATTTGAGATACTTATAATATTTTTAAAACTTAAGAAATATTGATTTTTTGCACTTCCTTAAATTTTGCGTTAATTAATTTTTATTGTTTTGCGATTTCAATAAGTTTATAAAGTCATTTTTTAATTAAAATTACTTAACGGTTTTTACATTTTACAATTTTAAACGGATAAAATGTATTTTTTTTTATCCGTTTAAAATTTTTCTTTTAAAATAACTGTTTTATTAAATTAATAAAGAATCGTTTTTTAATCATTGTAAATGAAATTTTTTTCTTTTAGTTCGACAATCTTGTATACGTAAAATAATAAATATTCGAATATTCTTAAAAGTAGCATGTACAAATTAAAAAAAATAGTTTTTAGCTGATTTAATATGTATATGTGTGAATGAAACAAAATATTAAGAACATTTTAAAGATAAAAGATAAATATAATGCTGTAAAAATGAGCTATTAATTTGTTACATAAGGTTTAGGTTAAAGCTTATCATGGCAGCTTTATTTTTCTGTGAATTGTACTGTTTGTCTACGATAGGTACTCTGTCCGCCATTCGTCTGGAGGGGTGGCGGTGACTATGGTAACGAGGTATGATTATTTCAAGTAGGGGTGCGGGGTCCCTCTTTAAGACTGGTTTCGGTGGGAGAAAAGGAGACTTCTTTCTTCGATCTATTGTATTAGCCCTAGAGTTAAGAGAATTGAGCATTCGCGCCTGAAACATCGTTTAGAGCGTTTGATTCCTTTTTTTTAATCTTTTCTCTTTTTCAAAAGCTTCTGTTTTAGAAAAAAATTAAAAAAAATTATTTGTGTTGTAAATTTTTTATTTTATTTTTCCTCTTTTAACTTTTTTGAATTTTGAGAAATGCCTTTTAAATTTACAGGCCTTTTAAACTTACAGGCACCTTGCAGTTCATAATAAAGAGTATCCTTCTTATTGTACTATTCATAAATGTCAAACTCCTGTTTGGAGAATGAATATTTATTCTTACACATGTTCAGACCTTTTGTAGAAAAACCCCTTTGATGTTTTCCCTGGCCTTCAAATGGTTTTAAAAGAGATACCGTGTTTTTACAAAAGAAGCATTAGTAACGAACATTTTCAAAATTTCAGGAATTCTTTCATTAATTATTTAATTTAATAGCTTGAATAAATTGTTCCTTTNGAGAGAATTATTTTAAGTAAGAAAGAAATATTCATGCGAATCTTAAAAAAGTTCTTGAATCAGATTAAATAAGTCTCCTACTGGTGGCTGAGTCAGCCAATCTGGTATACTCCCCATACAAGCTATCATCGAAGGCGAAAGAAAAGGAGACCTCTTCATCGAAGCCACCCTCCCTAAAATGCTCTCTTCTTGTTTCCATAGCACCAGACTGCCGCAGACTTTGTGGCGGACAGAGTACCTATCGTAGACAAACAGTAAAGAGTTCGGGACCGAAAAAATTATTTGCTTTGGTAAAGAAAATATTGATACATGGCGCCATCTAGTTTTAATTCAATCAAACAATTACGTTTTGCTTAATAAATTTTTTTGTCTTGAAATGATTCAAATTTATTATTTTATATAAAATGTATAACTTATCGCATGAAATATAATATTTCCCATATTTCTAGGCTCATTGAATGTGTAACGAAAGTAATTACTTTATGTGATAATTGTAAATTATTGTATAAAATAATTACTTTACCATTGGTTTATTAAATTGCAGGAGCTATAAGGGAGAAATTAACATCTTTATTTCTTCTGTTAAAATTCTGACTAAATCACCGATCAATATATTGAAGCATTTTTATCACGTTTAGAAAAAAAATTTCATGGTAAAAATTAAAATATTTGTTTTGAAAATCAATTTATACAGAAAAAAAGAACTGATGGGGTGTAGCAAATTTAAAAAAATTAAAATTCATGCCTAATTCTTAAAAATATTCTAAAATATTTATATAGTGGATCACTTACGTGCATTATGAAATTTTTAATTAACGTTATATCTTGTTAAGTTCAAACAAAAATCTGGCTTAGTAATTGATTCAACTGAAGATCAAAACTTTCGACCATCTCTGGGATATGACGCATAATTTATCTGTTTTCTGAATTTCCAAGGCTAATCATAAAAAACTGAATTTTATATCTCTTTAAATAATGAAAACATCTAATAGCTTCTTTTAAAATACTTATTCTTCTTTTTAAATATCCTTCGACTTAAAGGGAAAGAATTTAGTGTGAAAAAGTTGTGACTTTTCTGCAGAACCAGCATCTAGTTTTAAAAAAAAAAAAAATCTGTTTTGGTTTTAAAAGCATTTAAAAGTAAAAATTTTTGCTATGTTTAAAGACATAGAAATTTTTTATAAAAAATATAATTAGTTTACTTTTAATGTTTAGTGGTGTTAGGTGTTTTGGTAATTTTACTTCTTTTCCCATACAGCACTATGAGTAGGAAGTAAGGTTACTTCAAATATTTAAATATTTTTTTTTTTAAATTTTATTTTATGTAACGAATGAGAATGTGTAAATAGTTTCGAAGTCAATAAAAAGTTTATGAAAATTTGGTTTTTGTTTAGACATTATAAATTTTCTTTTATTAAAATATTTATATTACTCTATAAAACTCCTTTATTTATTTTTTAATTTTTTTTTTTTTGTTAAATTAATTATGGGAAAAATGGGAAAAAGTTTTTTGAAAAAATGTATCAGTTTTTTTAGTTTTAAATAAATTCGAATAATAAAAGTATTTAATTTCCAGCAAATATGTGTTATTAAGTTTACTGAAAAAAATATTTGGTGCTTAAAACACTAATGGTTAGATAAAAATTATATTTGCTGCTAACATGACTAAATATGCATGTGGCCCTTTGTTGATCGATCTACCTGCTGTGAAAGTGGCCCTTCATTCAAAAAAGTTGTGCACCGCTAGTGTATAGAAATTTCCCTTCTCACCTAAATGATAATTATTCTGAAGAAATTTTTCTTCCTGCCTAGCTGGCACCATTGCTAGAATGATGTTGTGATTTTCAACTGAAATTAGGATGGTGTGTGTATTTTTTTCCAAGAAAAGGATTTCTTGTACAAGGCTGAATTGAGTAAATAAAGATGCACAGATAAAGCCCATTTTAATATATTATAATTTTATCATAAATTATTTTCTAATATGAAATTTTTTCTTTTCCAGGTTAAAGAGTTCTTTACTTTTTCAAGCAGCTTTATCATATGCAAGTATTGGGGATCAGGTCATTTTTATCTGTACAGGTCCATTTCTTGCAAAACCCTGTCCTGTATCTGAAATGCAAACTGCAACGCCCTTAACATTAGAATGCATTAAAATGGTGTAAGTTAACTTTTCACAATTTAAAAACATTACATCTATCAGGTGTTTTTAGTGTGAGCAGTATTTTTTATTAAAAGTATTTATGATTGTGAAATAATTAAAAACTTATTACTTAAGACTAAGTAAAAAAATTAAGTATTTTAAAACTATTGCTCAACTATTATTGATTTTTATTCTTTGTCCATTTCCAAAATTTTTAAAGATCTAAATATTAAAATTGATTGTATAACTTCAAAAATCCTTTCACAAAGAAAGACTTACTTTATTTGCACGCATTTAAGTATAAAATACTATAAAGAAAAGCACAATAATACAGTTTTAAATATATTATTGTAATTTATTTTTAATAATATCTGAAATTTAATTTTTCTTCTTCACTGACACGACAGCCCTGAGTGGGCCATAGCTTTCTCCAGAAGTTTTTTCCAGGTGTCTCTGTCTAATTTAATTACATTTATTTTTAACTTATTTAAATTTAACTTATTATAAGCTGAAGTTCTTAAAGTATGTTTTAAAATAATTCCAAAAAAAAAAAAAAAGATTCATAAAAAAATCTGTTTTAAATAAAATATTTTGATTTTTTTTTTCAAAGTTGCAAACTTTTGTCATTAAAAAGTTACTTTGTTAATGTAATTTTGTGATGTTGAGGATAATTTTTTTTCATTAAATAAGAAATTTTATGTTTACTTGAATTATTGTTTTTCTGTTAAATTTTATTCTTTCTCTCTATTTCAGGTATATTTCTGAACCAAGTGGTTTATTACAGTATCTTTGTGAGCTTCATACAAAAGAGTGCCTTCCCTGTGCAGTTATTGTACATGATATTCATCACTATGTGTCACATTATACTGAGGTATTTATTTTTTATTTGGTTATTATATCATGTATAAAACTGACGTTTTTGTAAAAAAGAAATTAAACTATTACTAGTTAAGAATTTTTTAAATAAAGAATCATAAACATTAAAGAAACATTCATAAGTTCTTTTTAATTATTTTGTCATATTATTTTAATAATAAAGTATAATAGTAGTCATACTAAAAATAAATTTTTGGGAAAATAGATTATTATATTTTTAAAGTATACATATATTTGTTGATTTTGTAATTTGTTTTTGTTGAATTAATATTAATTTATATTTTTTTTAACATTGAGGTCTCATAAAGATAAGCTAAAAATTAATAGTTTAAAGTGAAGTAACAAGTGAATATCTAAATTTGATTGTATATGTTTTTTATCCGTACTTCATCTGATTAAAAGTAAGAAAAAATATACAGCATTTTTTCAAAAATCTCTAAAACATTGTAAATGTAGCTTGTCAATGTTAAGAAATAATTCTCGCTAATAAAAATTTGGAAAAATCATTTGTTGCTTTCTTATCATGAACCAAGATTCAAGAGTTGTATTTTAAAGTAGCTTGTTGCCGTTGTTTCGTTTCACGAACGAGGCCTAAATTATCAGCAATGAAGGCGAAAATAATAATTAAATCAACGCAAAGAAACGCTGAGTTCTCAATAAAAAACAAAACAACCTTTCTTTATTACTTCTTACATCAGTCATAATACCCAGATTCAGGTTATTATTTTTATAAAAAAAATACATAACGATTACGATTAAAACTACTAAATCGATTCTCAACACTCCCACCTTTTGTATTGATTTTAATCAAGACAAAACTTAATAAACATATAAAGTTAACCAAAAAGGGGGAAACGTTAGTGAGAAATATAAACAAACTACTAAGAGAAACAACTGTTACTGAAGTAAAGTGCTTTAACTGAAATCTATAAATTAGTTTAAAATTTACTTTATGACATAAACTCTCTAAAGAAAAGAAGAAAAAAAAGAAAAAGTTTCTTTTCAGTCAAAGATCTAGTCTCTTGGGCATATTTACTTGACGACCACTTTGTGTACTTTTTATTTCAGGAGGCTCTTCA